ATTAGAGCAAAAAGAAGAGGAAAGTCGACCAGTCTTCTCAAGAACACACAAAAGGTTTTCTTCAAGTTCCAGATTCAAAATCAAAGGATCTCTCCTTAGATTTCATCACCAGGTATGTGATATTTCACTAGTGGGTTCCTTACATTCACTAGGTCCCTAGAATTTAGTCAGACCCTTGATTCTCCATATTTTATTTAGACCTAGGGATTCTAAAACCTTGGATAATTGTTGAGATTTCGCTGTTGTAGTATCCTAAATCGAATTAACTTGTTTCTTGGAAAGTTTGCTTAGTTCCCTGTATGAAACTCAGAACCCTAGTTTGTGTAAATTCTGTTAGTTCATGAATTATACTTGCTAGGTCAGTTAAACAGATAATCATGATTTGAATGTCCCATTATCAATATATAAATGTTGCATTCTCAGTTAGCATGTCAGTATTTTGAGCTATTCAGTATTTCAGTTACATTTCGGTCATATAGATTTTCAGTTGGGAGTAGACTTAGAACCAAGTTAGACTAGGGTTCAGTGTACCCTTATAGTCTCAGAACTATGTGCCCGCATAGGAGTATAAGTCCCCTCTATTGGGCATCAAATTTAGTGATCATGCCAGTCATGCCTTTATACCCCTGGCAAGGTATATTGGGTCCTCTCGATGGGGCGTATACATCGGATTCCACGTTTATGTCACGTTGTTTTATGTCGGTTAATAGCAGCTCCCACAGTCAGACTCCTAGTGCATTTGACCAGGTTTTTTAGTATATACCTCAGTATTCAGTCAGCATGTCATGTTCATGATTAGCACTTGGTCATTGCATTCAGTTTAGTTTTTCAGTATGTTTCAGTATTTACATTCTTGCTCAGTTTATGTCATTGCTCAGTTATGCTTTGTTCAGCTAGTATATATTTTTGTTTAGCTTAGTATCTATATCCTTCATGCTGAGTACATTCCAAGTACTAACGCATACTCTACGCTACATCCGTTCATGATGTAGGTTCAGGTACTCAGCATCTAGATCACACTTAGATCGATTATCCGTCCGTATTCAGCAGCTTCAGTGGTAAGTGCTCATACTTCGAGGACAATAGACATGCTTTTTATTTTTAGTGTTTTATACAGTTTTAAGTTTTGTTAGAGTTAGCTGGGGGGCATGTCCCATCAACTCAACTAAGATAAAGGCTTTTCAGATGTAGTAATAGAATTAGCTAGAATTATTTAGTTTATCTCTCAGTTGTTATTAAATTCTTAGTATGATTTATAGATTCAGACTAGTTGGGCTTTCTCCTATTTCCAGTTATTTATTGATTTGGCTTCCTTATAGTTCATGTTTTATTTAGTTATTCTCAATATGCTTGAGATATGCTAGACACAGGGTTAGCTTGGTGTCACTCGTGGTCCTAGGTCCCGTGTTACGTCAAGGGGGTAGTCTCAGAGAATGCATTCGGGTCTGTTAGTTGTATGAAAGCTTGCTATGAAGAATGTGAAAGTTATTGTGTCATGGGTTTAAGCTTTGAATTTACTTATCTTTTGTCTCTCTTGATTATCTAATATCTCCTAGAACACCTTGTAAACTCAAGCATTCATACAAGTTGGTTGAACTCACTGGAGTATAGTTTTATGATTTAATACTAAGCAGTTTGCATTATTTTTCTTACAAGTGATCGTATAATACTGTGTAGTAATCCATGAGATTTCAAGTTTAGGTGTTATTTGTAACTTTTTTTTGTTTCCTTTCTTTAAATCAGTACATGCTTGATCTTCAATTTTCTTTTTGAAAATTGCTCCCAATTTCCTCATCACTGGCCAACTTCCTCTCTTTAAAATTGGGATGTCTAGTTATGGATGTGCCAACTATTCTAGGGTAATTAAAGTGATTATGCTAAAGTATCTCTTCTAATAATGATTTGTTATTTCACACTTTGAGTGGCAGCATATTTTTTTCACATTTTGATTTATTGCTAATGTGTAATGCCTTGCAATACTACCATCATAGCTTGCTCATAATATTTTCCTTGTTGTGGGTGAAATTTGTCATAATTCATTTTAGATATAATACATAAACACATTGAGTCAATCTCCGATTTATTCATCTGTCGTTTACTAATCCTTATTATCTTGTATTGCATGAACCCCCCTTGGTTTGAGTCCATTGGACTCCATTCTATCTCTTCCCTTTGCATTTCAGATGTGCCATGAAGTCCCGAACTCAACACTATCGAGTTGAACTCATCATTTCAAGAAATTGGAAGCTGAAACAGGTCTCGGAAAGCAGAAAAATGGGCTGTATACATCCGATATACACTGATATACATCAGGGTATACAAAAATGGGAATTGAGCCACGAGCCCAAATCAGCAACGAGTTTGGCCCAAAAAAGGGCCCAAATTCATCTTCTCCTTTATTCTCCTAGATTATTTAATTGTGATTACTTATTGTTAGTTTTTTTTATTAACTCTAACTTTAAATAACTTAATTGAACTCCCTAAAGGATGAACTATTTTCTTTGTGTTGGTTTACTTTAACAAATTTTATTTTATCAACTCTTGCACCCTTATTTACTTATTGAAATATTTTATATTCAAAACTTTCACTTACTTTTAACTAGTTTAAACTAATTTCTTGGTTTATCGACTAAATTAGTTCAAATTATTATGAGTCAAATAAATTTTAATTAATCTAGTTTGTTAAAAAATTTATCACTTGCATTTAATTCAAATGTTTCATTTAGGTCCCTTTCCCTATAAAATAAAATAAAATAAAATGTGTCATTTATTTAATCTATTTTTTCAAGTTAATCGAATATTGTAAATAAATATTATTATTTATATATATTAAATCATTTTCCTAAAAAAAAAATAGTCCAAAAAATATTTAACCTAAGTCATAGGATAACCACGTGTTAGCAGGTGCTTCAAATGTCTTAAAAACCTTCTTGAAGCGTAAATAAGAATCTCTTACTCATTTTCTCTAAATTTTTAAGGACTCTGTTAGAGTCTTTTCAAATTAACTTTTCTTAATTTCTTTAAAAAATTAAGTGGTGACTCTTTCTAAGTATTTTTCTCAAATTATTTTATACTTAGGACATTTCAAAATGTGATTTTTCTAAAGATAGTAAAATTATGGCATAACAGTTGATACAATTTCATGGCTATTTGAAATTTAGGCTAAGTCCAAATATTCAGCCTTTTCAAGCATTAGAACTTCACCAGGTTTATAATTACATATATTTGGACTAAACAAATAGAAATACTTCATAGAAACACCAGTATAGAGAAATATTTTCTAGTGAGTTACGTTGTAAAGTACTTAGTCACTACAATTATTTACAAACTTATTATGGGAGCCAAAATATTATCTTAAACTGTTTTAATTAACTTCTATACTCTGTTGCTCATTTTGTTCTTCTACTGTCACCATATATTTCCAAGTAAACAAACTTGATATAACGTTTTTAGTTTGAAATTAGCTAATAACACTCAAATTTGTATTGCACAAGCTTTACTTCATGAAAAGTTTGAAGTCTTTTTAGCTAATTCCTAAGGCCGTGTACTTGTGCACAAAAAGAAGAGTTGATATTGTATCGTTTCATTCCCCACTTATATGTGGCACCTCCCTTAGTTTGAAGATTGTTTGGAAAATATCATGTGTCATCATAATCATATAATTAGTTTATATAGTTATTTACAATGCTGATTGATACATGTTTTTTTAAGGTACTTCTATGTCTCACTATGATATAGTTTTTGGAATGCAGAAGAATGACTACTAAATGTGGGGCTCCAACTCCACCGCTTCTTAACTGTTGGATTAGGATATGCTCATGATGTATTTGAATATATGGACAATTATTATATTTTTTAATCTATAATGTCTATTTAAACAATGATTGCATATGGTTTAACTGGACAACATAGGTTTGTTGTACATATTGTTTATGGTAAAGCTTATATTGCCATTGTCTTGTGCTCAATTAACTTAGATGCTTATAACTTTGTCATTGTCGGTCCGACCATGGAGACGGTTTAGAAAAAACTCTTGAAAGGAAACAAAGATGTATGTTGATGTATTAGACGATATTAGAATGGTCTGTCAATAGGATCTACAGGATCTCTGGATTCCCTATTTATTTAAGTTTGGTACTAAGCTGGTTGTCAGAAGCAGCAGACTAACACTATAAATTAACATGATATTTATATTATAGTTCAGGTGGTCCTTATAAATATTCCTTTAAATAATTGATTTATCACAATTTTATTCTTTTGTAGTGGGTAGAACTAACTTTGCATTCTATGGAATTCTTTGATTTGAAATTCATAGGGGCCACGAGGATGAATAGTTTGTATTCCTCTTACACCTTTGTTAATTTAAAATAAATACTATTATTTTCATATGAAAGATGTTATTTCGTGAAAACTTAAGTATTTGGTCAACATATTTTTGCAATATATTGATAATTTTTATAGTAGTGTATCTTCATTCATCTAGGCTTTAGCGCTTTAATGTAAATATTGGGCCCGTGCTTAAGCACGGGCTATTCCCCTCTAGTATATATACTAGATGGATATAGCCCGTGCTAAGCACGGGCCCAACATTTAGCATTTTCAAGTGGTATATAATTTGCGTAGTAACTCGAAAAAGAGTATATATTGTAAAAGCTAATAGATCATTGCATAAGTTATACACATGAACTTCAAAGTGCAATAATACAACTAATTTCTCCCATTCCACAAACAACTTTACAATGCAGACAAACTATCTTCCAAATACTTTTCAATATTTATCATAAGAATAGAAGTGGATAACCTTACATAGAGATCATAGAATATGACAAAATTCATTTTAAAAAATCTATTTATGCCTTGAATCATTAGTAGTAAATTTGAGTAGATGCTCTCTGTATTTTTCAAAAGAATAGAAGTTGGTATCCTTAAATGGAGTTGCATGTAGAGCAATAAAATTATGTTTCATAAATCCATTGATGCCTCAAGTGTTTGTAATTGTACAATAAAATTCTGTTTCATAAATCCATTGATGCCTCAAGTGTTTGTAATTGTACAACCTTCACTCAATGCCCTAAGGAAATAGATTCAAGAAAGTATTATTGTCATTCACATTGCAATCCAAAGCCTTTCTTGATCTATCATTTCAATTGTGTTGGAAATACAATACCTAGCTTAGTAGCCAACCTTTGCTATCCCAGAAATACATAACAGGGAGACGTTACGTTTTGAAATACCTTCAAAAACCAAGTAAACAACAATCGTCAACTAAAGAACTCTAAAACTGAGTGCAAAAATAGAAATTAGCGAGCTATAAATTAAAAGATACTTATGTTTCAGTAATTTGAATAAACTACAGTATCATTGTTTTATGCCTTATTGCGATTGTCATAGTAGCTATTTCAAATATATTTTTTCCACATTTTTCAATGAAGAGAGCAGTCACAAAGTGAACGCCAAGTAAATAATTGTTGAAAGCTTAGAACAACATTTTTCAAATGAAGTAACTATCCGTGCAATAAACTAAAAATAACTTAAACAATCAAGTAAGTGATAGATTAAAGATAAGAACTTCATGTTTCCTAAAGCGAGTAACTTCCAATAGCACATTGTATAAATGCAGGGGTAATTTAGGATGGTATGTAGTCAAAAGATGTTGCTAGATTATAGGTATGCCACACACATAGAGTTTAATTTGATGGGAGATTCTGACATAAGGTGTGTAAAAAGAATGCAGTAAAGTGAACTAAAATGCCATCCAACGGACAGGGAAAGATAACTGGTGATCATAATTCTGTAATCTGTGGTCTTTCTGACCTACACTTTCATCTCTGTTTTGTGTATAGAGTTGTAAAGATGGCTAATTATTTATTTGTTTTCTCTTCATGGTTTATTTTGAAACTTGTGCTCAAGTCAAGTGTACTAATCTTAATTATTTTGGTAATATAATACTCTAGTGAAATAGAAATCTTACACAGGAGAGAAAGTTGAGATTGCATATTCAGGTTGATGACACTGAATGCTGTTTATGTGATGAAAAAGTAATGGAGACTAATGTTCACCTATTCGAGAAATGCAAATGGACATCAGCTGTGTGGTAAGCTATGCACCATTGGACTGAAATACCAGTGCAGAATATTGGTATCATGAAGGTCTAGGAAAACATAAAAGGTAATCACTGGAAGCAATTTAAAAAGGAGATCATGGCAGCTATCTGTGGAGATATCATATACCACACTTGGCGTGCCAGGAAATGGAGGAGGTTTAAGGACAAGCGTGTACATACGGAGGAGGCAGTAACACAGATAAATAAGGAAATCATTGAAAGATTACACTTAGTAGTTCAAAGAGCAAAAAAGTGTAGACACTTTATTCAACATTTGTTATGTAATTGGTTTTATGTTTGGTAGGAGGCCTGTTCTCTCTTATCAGAATTAGGTGCTCTTTATTTGTATCCGTTCTTGGGTGGTTATGGTAATATTTTACAGTTGTTACTATAAAAGAAAAAAATAAAAATCTTCACTTGCAGAACCATTCAGGTAATTTAAGAAAGGAAATTATACAACATGTTATAAAAACAAAATTAAATGACAGCACATCTAAATTCTTATCCTTTAATGTTAAATTCTTAACTTCATGAATTCTCTTTTGATGTCATAAGTTTTTAGTGTGATTTTCAGGCCTTCAGATCACAAAAAGAGACATATGAAGTGATTCACTTTCAGTATGACGACAACAAATAATTAAATAAACACAACATATTATGATATAGCTTTTTGCTCAAAACTCACATTATGTAAAAAGTAAATAGAAGAAAACCAAAAATAACACAAAAGAAAATAAAGAGCAAATGGTGGAGATACTGAAAGGAAAATCAAAGGGAATAAATGGAACTTGGATATAGATAATTGGAAGCAGAATATCAGTGTCATATATAAATTCCACAAGAAATATTTAGGAAAGAAAGAAATCTTAAAAGAGATATAAACACCAAATTTATCTATTAATTGTATAGAAAATTAATTGACAATCAAATTCGATCATAGCAGATAACCAACACACACAACAACAGCCTGTGATTATACAATAAAAGATATCCTCATTAGAATTGAATCAACTAATAAAACAATTCTCTAAAATATATCTTCATAAATAACTCAAAACTAAACTAATGCTCAAGAACTTCAATTACAAGAATCTTAAGTACATTTAATCCTACATCTTTGTCACTTGAAACTGAAGGGCTAAAATTGTACAAAACGAACCTCATGAAGATGAGCCAAAAAATGCTAGGATCACTCACGAGTCACGACCATTTGACTCATCAGCAGTCAGCCATGCCTACATAATGTCAAAAATAGCAAATTTGCTTGTACTGGGAAGCTTGTAATAAAAAAGCTTCAACCAATGTACCTTCAGGGTTTATGAAAGTGGCGGGTGCAAGATTTTTATTTTTTTTTCGTTGATAAGCTCCTGAGACTGGAACCTTGAGGAGGAAAAATAATTTGATTTTTGGTATCAAATGAGGTTCAGAGATGGATGCCCAACGTCAATCTATCGACAACAATGGTAGTGACCCGGAGCTTAACACAAATTTGTTGCTTTTGTTCCCCATTGTTGTTTGACAGAGAGAGCTTGAGCCATGCCTCCCTAATCGTTATTATAATCCCATAAAAACTATAGATATAGTCATATAGGATTCGGTTCTTGAATACACTGGAACAGATACAAAAATAGATTCAGTGATCTGTCTGTTCTTAAATTTTTTCCCAAAACTCTAGCCCTTTCTCTATGTTGAGGATTTGAAAAGAATTTTAAGAGGATTAAAGCAAAAATTGAGAGAAATAAATTACCTGCAATTAAAATACCCAGTTAAGAATGAACTCAAAGTTTGTACTTTGCTGAGTAGAGCATCGGCATTGTTAATTGTAAGCAAAGAAGAGCGTAGAAGAGTGTAGAAGAAAGGATTGGAAAACAAAATGCCATTAGAATATAATAAAAATTGGTAAGCAAAGAGGAGCGTAGAAGAGTGTAGAAGAAAGGATTATAAAACAAAATGCCCTTAGAATATAATAAAATTTCCAAACTACCCTTGGTCGTCTGGTCGTCTTCACTCTTCTATATAATAGAAATATACCCCAAACTAGAATGTTGAATTACTATAATACCCCAATTAAAAATACTCAATTAATTTTATTTGTTAATTTAATTAATTTTATTATATTGAAAGTAGATACCTTTTCAAATTAAAGAATTGTGACTTTTTCATTGAGTTGTGACTTTTCCAAAGGGTTGTGACTTTTTTTGACGGGTTGTGAATTTTTCAATGAGTTGTGACTTTTTCAAAGGGTTGTAATTTTTTCGAAGGATTGTGACTTTTCTAAAGGGTTGTGCCTTTTCTGATGAGTTGTGCCTTTTCTGATGAGTTGTGCCTTTCCCAGTGACTTTTCGGATAAGGCACAATTAACACGTATTCATACTACTATTTGGTAGCTATAAAAAGAGGGATTTCCTCACACTTTCAAACTACAATTTCTTTAAGTTCTCTACTCTTCTTCTTCTTAATAAATCTCAAGTGTTATTTGCAAATATTGATGAAGTTCGAAATTCAACAAAATTCGAGGTACCTCATAAGAAAGAGTTGGTGAAAAAAATTGTACGTCAAATCGATTCATGAATTCACACTCGTATTTTTTCTTACCATTTTCATGAGTTAACAGTGACGAAAAGTTGTGGGAAGAGACAATAATATTAAACAGATATGAAAAAAGGCCATATTGATTTGGGTAAGATATTTCTTCTTTGTTTTTTTATTTTTTATTCTTTTCCCTTAAACGAAGGAGTTTCTTCCTAATTTTGCTAAAACAATGGGTATCAACGCAATCCATCGAATTTTTAGTTTTGATGTTAAATTCACTATTTCAAAAATAGATTTTCACTTTTACTTATAATATGATAACATAGCCATGATAATAATTATTTTTTAATAGATATGTACGTAAAAATGAACTGAGAAAGTAAAGTGTTGATGTCAAGAGATTTAAATCAAATGGAATACTAAAGTGAATATAGCATGAACATATATTTTCGTCTTCCTTCTTCATTGGCTATGCATTGTTCCATATAATTTTTCTTTATGTCACAAGATACACTCCTTACTAGCTATATAAAAATGGATTAGTGATTAATTATAAAATGATCTTAAATAAAATTAATGATTCTATAAATAATACTTTACATTTTATTCATCTATTAATTTTTATTATTGAAATTTATATATATATATATATATATATACACACACACACCCGGTGATATGGCACACTTTCACGCTAGCTAAAATGAGTAATTATTTTTTATTTCTCTGTTTATTGCATTTTCAAAAATTAGTATTTAAGTTCTTCCTATTTTTTTGCATATCTTAAACTGAACATTTAGATTTAGTTAAACCATGTGGTATGAAGCAAAATGTTTCCATGGAAAACATTTTCCTAGAAACTGCTCTTTTGGAAAACAAGTTTGTTTCTCACTTATTTTCTCATGTTTGGTTGGTGAGTGAAAAATATTTTATAATATTTGATTGGTGAATGAAAAATATTTTTCTATTTTTGGCTAGACTTTCAGAGCATAACCCGACCCGACTCCCGACTCCTAGTCCAAGACTCGACTTCTAAATGGGGACCTGACATCGACTCTCGACCTGAGATCAGACTTCCAAATCAGAATACGACTCCAACCCTAGCGACCAATCTAAGATCCAATCCCATCTGTTGAATTAGGACCCGACTTTTGCACCAAGACTCGACGCCAACACCTGATCTAAGATTCAACGCCGATACCCTAACCTAAGACCCGACATCTGAACTACGATCTGAATTTCGGATAAGGACCCAACCCCTACACTCGATGCATGACCTGACTTCTAAATTAGGATTTGACCCCGACAATCAATTCGGGACCTGGCCCTAACACTAGATTCAAAACCCAGTTTCTGATCTATGATCCGACCTCGATATCTAACATCGACAGTTGATTCAGGGCCCAAACCCGTCACCTGATCTGGTAGATGACCTCAACTCTTGACCCGAAACCCAACTATGACACTCAGACTCAGATCACCACCCCAACACCCAACCTAAAATTCGACCTCTAATACTTACCAATGAGGTCCCTCAAAATCCGACCTCGATATTCAACACCGACAATTGATTCGAGGCCCAAACCCATCACCTGATCTGGTATCTGACCTCAACTTTTGACCCGAAACCCAACTCTGATACTCGACTCAGATCACCACCCCAACACCCAACCTAAAATTTGACCTCTAATGCTTACCAATGAGGTCCCTCAAAATCCGGCCTCGATATTCAACACCGACAATTGATTCGAGGCCCAAACCAATCACCTGATCTGGTATCTGACCTCAACTTTTGACCCGAAACCCAACTCTGATACTCGACTCAGATCACCACCCCAACACCCAACCTAAAATTTGACCTCTAATGCTTACCAATGAGGTCCCTCAAAGCCAGACACATATGGATAGGCTCTCCCTTGCAACAGTGAATAAAAAATAACTTCAAGACAAACAACATTATCCAGTGAGATAAAAATATAAATATACAGATGCAAATTCATGTGATAAACCAACGTGGCCTCCCGACAATGTCACAATATCTTTATCAGAGAATCCTATGTTGTAAAAGACGTCCCTCAAGTGTGGAGGACCTAATGGGGATTAGTGAACAAAGTAAGTGTTATGCAACATCCAAAGAACATGTTTCAAATTCAGAACACTAATTAAGTTGTAGAGCACTCTGAGAAATTACTCCAAGGTAGCTAGCAGCCAGATTAGCAATATTTACAATTTTAACTATAAAATATCACCACGTTTAGTTCAATGTCATTGTTCATAACATTCAAGATCTCCAACAAAGTGGAATATATATTACTTGCCTTTACAAAATTTTCTTCCATAATAATGAACAATATGTTTACGGACGACACAGTAAGTGCATATTAGCAAAGAATCAAAATAAAATCATCTACAAAATAATTGAAAGCCAACTTCCACATAGAAGCAGAACCAAGTAAGAATTCTTATACTTAAGTTGTTCAGGCACAACATTGTGCAAGAACATTGATGAGGATAATTGAAGCAAACTTCATAGATGAGGCTCTAGTTGACATGCATTGAAATCAAGTTTTAAACAAGCTAACGATTTTTCGTTAATTTTTATCCCGTATCTCATGGATTCTTTCCCTATAAGAGAATGAAAATATCTTCACCTTGTCAATTGTGATACTGAGCAGAGTAAGCTACCTGTTCTATCAGAGGAAAAAATATTCCAGAAAGCAAAGACAATATTTTTAAGACTAACCTTTATATTCTACTTTTGACTTAGCACCTTCTACAACATTCTTATAGTTGTGAAGGATACTACAAATATCATACATAACTTAAAGTCTCAGTTTAATATAAATAGAGTAAAGATAAAACATCATCAAAACTTAGAGTAAAAGAAAATTGAAGCAAATCATGGTTTATAATCCAAAGTCAGTGCCAATAAGTGATGTAGAGCTAGTATTCAAATTCAGTTTTTATTCCCAGTGATTTTTTCTTGGATGCGGCAACCAAAAGTATTGGATGGATGAAGAAGTTTTGTATGCTATCACTACATTTAATTTTATGTATGGCTAATGAATATTTAGTCATTGAATTAACAAATTTTATATAAAATCTCATTTGAAGCCAATTTGGTCGTGTAGAGTGAAGGTTGAAGATCATTTACAATTGGTTGCCATCATCTGAGTCTAGTTGATGGCCTAAGAAACAACATTATCAAAAAAATTATAACTCTCTCTCTCTCTCTCACACACATATACTGAGTAAAAGAACAATTCCAACGGAGATTAAAGATTATTTAAGATTACAGTTTGATCAAATACTTGTCTGAACATCATGTGTGGCTCTCTTCTACTATATTCTCTTTGTGCGTGATAGACCGACCATCCTTGAACACCAACACAAACTTAAAGTAAGTAAATATTAATTTGTAATGGAAGTAGAAAAGCCTTTGAAAGGGTAAAGCCTCAAATCCAAATTAAAAGATGTATATTAATTGAAGAACTATTATACCTATTGAATTGCATATTTGTTGGTTTTCTATAACTGGATGGAGTGTCTAGAAATCACGATTAATTCCTGATTCTTGATGTCACGACCCGAGCCTACACCCTGGACGTGGCCGGAACTCAAGAACCATTGTTGGTCCCCAAGCGAACCCTCATCCTGGCTGATTACAAGCGAAAGACTAACTTAAGCATACATAATCATCAAATTGAAAGAAATTTTAAATCAACAATGTATTAAATCTCAAAACTCTTTGAATATACTGAGTATTAAACATAAGTTTTAATGAAAACTTCTTAAACTGAAAGAATCTCCAAAACTCTTTATCTATGAATCTCTAATGTACAAAGATGAGAGTCGGGGAAAGACTCACGACTCTTCAAGAGAGTTACCGCTAACAACTCATAAAACTGAAGTCCTCCAGAAGCAAGGAAGTCTGACTCAAAAGCTGACGAGCGGATGAAGTGATCTTAATAGTCACTTGTTGAGGATCCTAAGAACCTGTATCTATATCATTAAAAGATGTAGGTCGAATGACATAAGTACACTAAATGTACGAGTATGTAATACAGCTAAATAACAAATAACTGAATGAAAGGATTGCAATATATATATAGATATATACTCAACTGAATGTAAATACATAAAGAAGTAAAATCATTAAAACTTTTAAAAAATACTTACTCATCTCTGAACTCGACATATTAAGTGATATAATAAAATACACTTTTAACTCTATTTGTGAGATTCTCTAACCGACAACCATCACTATGAACTAAGTGATAATACAACGTCTCACCCACGCTTCCAGAACTGTCTTATACCTTGTTGGAGTATAGAAACCTCAACTAAGTCGATCCACTAAGCTCTGCCCAAAGGC